CAGAGCTCCTTTCTCCCTCCTCTTGTTGTTGTTGTTGTTATGTGCCACAAAGTTGGACATGACTCATAGTGACCTCTCCTTGGGTTTCTGAGGCAGTATCACTACAGAAGTAGATTGCCCCATCTTCCTTCCGAGGAGTGGCTAGTAGATTTGAACCACCAGCCTTCTGGTTAGCAGTCAAGTGCTTTAGGCACTATGCTACCAGAGCTCCTCTCCCTCCTCTACTCACCTTCAATTTGTAACAGAATTCAGCTCAAACTCTGCTCTCAACCTTTCCTTTCCTTAACAACCACACCTTACTCTCCACCTGTTTCCACATAAAAATTTTCTCTAGGCTTTGATAATTTAGGGGATAGATGGATTTCAGCATCTTATTACCCACCTGAGAAGCTAGACTACAGGAAGAAGAATGCAGCATAAGGTCTGGAGGAAGACTTGTTAAAGACCTGAGATATGCAGATGACACAACCTTGCTTACTGAAAGGGAATATGACTTGAAGCATTTACTGATGAAGATTAAAGACTACAGTCTGCAGTATGGATAACACCTCAGTATAAAGAAAACGAAAATCCTCACAACTGGACCGATAAGCAGCATCACGATAAATGGAGAAAAGACTAAAACTGTCACAGATTTCATATTGCTTGGTTCCACAATCAATAACAATGGAAGCAGCAGTCAAGAAATCAGATGACGTATTGCACCGGACAAACCTGCTGTGAAAGACCTCTTTAAAGTGCTGAAGAGCAAGATGTCTCTTTGAAGACTAAGGTGTGCCTAACCCAAGCCACAGTATTTCAGTAGCCTCATAGGCATGTGAAAGCTGGATAATGAATAAGGAAGATCAAGGAAGAGTTAGGAGCTCTGGTGGCAAAGTGCCTAAGGCATCTGACTGCTAACCAGAAGGCTGGTGGTTCAAGCCCACCAGCCACTCCTTGAAAGAACGATCGGGCAATCTACTTCCGTAGTGATGTTGTTGTGTTGTTATGTGCCATCGAGTCGGACTCAACTCATAGTGACCCCTCCTTGGGTTTAGGCAATATCACTATGGAAGTAGATTGCCCAACCATCCTTCCAAGGAGTGGCTGGTGGGTTTGAACCACCAGCCTTCTGGTTAGCAGTCAAGTGTTTTAGGCACTATGCTACCAGAGCTCCTTCTGTAGTGATAGCAGTGCCATGGAAACCCAAGGAGGGATTTCTATGAGTCAGATCCAACTTGACCGCAGTGAGTTTAAAGAAGAATTGATGCTTTTGAGATGTGGTATTGGCGAAGAATACTGAAAGTACCATGGACTGCCAGAAAAATGAACAAATCTGTCCTGAAAGAACAGCTGGAATGTTCCTTGGAAGTGAGAATGGCCAGATTTTGTCTCACCTACTTTGGTCATGCTGTCAGAAGGGATCATTCCCTGGAGAGGGATACCATGCTTGGTAAAGTTGAAGGTCAATGATAAAGGGGAAGGCCGTCAACAAGATGGGTTGACAGAGTTGCTGCAATGACAGGTTCGGGTATAGCAAGGATTGTGAGGCTGGGGCAAGACCGAGCAGTGTTTTGTTCTCTTGTACAAGAGGTCACTATGAGTCAGAGCCAACTCAACAGCACCTAACAACAACAAAGATCCTGACAGCAAAGGCAGACTGCCGTAGTGTTTAATAAGATATCTGGCAGAGTGCTGACTAGGGAGGACCTACCAGCAAGGTGTATGTAAAATCAGGCTTAATTGAACAATTCGCTGACAAATCCAGGTATCTTATATTTGGCAATAATTACAGTCTGTATACATACCATGTTCAGAAGGAAGATGGGGCAATCTACTTCCGTAGTGATACTGCCTCGGTAACCCAAGGAGGAGTCGCTATGAGTCAGGTCCGACTCGACAGCACATAACAACAACAACAACATACATACCATGTATTTCTAAAAAGTTTCTATTTACAAATATTTTAGGTCAATGGTGATTGTAACACAACTTCCTTTCACAAAAAAAAAAAAAAAAAAAACTTTCTTTTTATAAAAGAATGTAACATTTTCTTTAGATTTATTTCTCTTAACAAGAGAATTACATATACAAAAGTATGCTTACTTGAAAAGAGTGAACAAATTTTGTATCTATCAGTACACATTTAAAAACAGACTTGTTTGTTTCAACCTAATCATGTTAACAAGAAGTGATGTGAACTATGATATCACATACTGTGTAACAGAAAAATACACTGTCCCCACAATTGTGCCACATAAATAATAATAGAATTGAGAATAGGATAAAAAAAATTTAGAATGCATTTAAAAAAAATTGAAGCTTACAAAGTCATATTGAAGTTTATAAATGTACACTTACCTTGAGAACTTGGAATTAACATAATAATAATTAAACCTACTTATCATTGAATGCTGTGTGCAAGGCACTTGATAAGAATTTTCCAGGCCTTCCTGCATAATAAAAGGAACCGTGGTAGTGCAATGGTTAAGTGCTCAGCTGCTAACCAAAAGGCTGGCGGTTCAAAATCACCAGCAGATGCATGGAAGAAAAGACCTGGCAATCTGCTTCCATAAAGATTACAGCCTGGAAGACACTCTGGGATGGTTCTACTCTGTCCAACTCAACCTCACACAACAACCATCACGTAATGAATATCAATGTGGAAAAAATAACGACAAATTACTTTCATGTCATGTGCCCTTATCCTTAATTACACAAAATTACTCTCTAAATTCCACCCACAATTCCACCCATATAGAACACACAATATTATACTACTATAAGAAAAGAAAGAAACAAACCAAAACCACTTTAAGTGTATAAATCAAGTCACTTGAACGGGGAACATCTCTCAAATGCTCTGTAGTTAAAATCAGAAGACATAAGCCCTAGACCCAGCTTCTGCAAGACTGCTCCAAAACTAAAGATAGCAATTCCTTTTTGAAAGCAGACTACAGCCTCTAGTGGCCAATGAGCGAACAGGAAAGTCTAGGCAACAAAGCATTACCCTGACTCTATCCCTCACAGAGCTTTGTTATTCCAACCCTTGGAATGATACTTCTTCAATACATAAGAACTGTATATGAGTCAACAAAAGAGATTTAAAATATCCCTTTCTCATGGAAAAATGTCTCAATTTCCCATCCTGCCTATGGCCAAAAATCCCTGTGAATAAGGAAAATGGGAAACTTTTTTTGCATCATATTCTTTTACAAGCCGTTCACGACCTTCATATTTTTCAACATCCCACATTTTAAAATGTTTTTTTAACTCATATGCTGTGAGTATTACTCAAACCTTTTAACTGCTATGAAGGCCTTTAACCTCAAACCAGGAAATACTAGTTCATGCTTTCCCAAGGCATCTTCCAATCGGAGCAACCAGAGAGAACAAAACAAATCTGATTCTGACAGTGTCAGATTAATCAGGGACAGTCACTACAGTGAAATGCATTCTGACAGAAAGTGTGTCAGAAGTGCAAGGAAAAATCAAACCACTGACTCATGGCACCCCAACGTGTGTAGAACAGAATTGCTTTCCACAGGGTCTGCAATGGCTATAAACGTTCGGAAACATATTGTCAGGCTTCAAACCTTTTGGTTAGGAGTCAACTTTTTTTGTTTTTGCAGATTTTAGGTTTCTGAGGCAGTATCACTACGGAAGTAGATTGCCCAATCTTCCAAAAAAGGAAGGGGAGGGGATCACCATGAGCTGGATCCTACTGACAGCAGTGAGTTGAGAGAGTTAGTTGTAACAACAAAAATAGTTTTTTAAGCCCAGCTTAAATGTATCAATATACCTACAAGGCTAAAAGCTCATTTATTTTTTCAATCTTCTAATGAACTCCTGTCAGAGCTGTCATTACCACCCAATTACAATGAGGTTTGCAATCATGTGGTATCATCTGTCTACTTCAGCTGTTGTTTTCAATGATGCCAGTGTTTTCATAGTCGCTGATTTTGTCAAATTTTGGCATTTTTATCAAATTTTCCATTTTAATTGTGTTTTAGCTACAATATTGTGGTAAATAGTATTTGTGAACCTGTAACAGTAACTTTCCTGAGAATGAAGTAGCAATTGAAGGAAAAGGAGAAAAGTCAAAAACGGCTTCCCCTTAGTTACCAATAATGTTATAAAGCTACAATTCAGTGTAGAAAGATTTTACAATTGTTGTTAAAACTCCTATGTTGTTGTTGTTATGTGCTGTCTAGTCGAACCCATAAAATTCATATAATCTAAGAATTATTACATTTAAGCAATTTATAACTGTACTTACTAGTCAAACACTTTTAAGCATGTATGCCACTCAGGGACTCCTTATGTAAAGATAAAACCAAAAATCAAATTCAATGCCATCGAGTTGATTCCAACTCACAGCGATTCTACAGGACAGAGGAGAACTGCCCCATAAGGCTTCCAAGGCTGTAACTCTTTATGGAAGCAGACTGCCTTATCTTTCTCCTGCAGAAAGGCTGGTGGGTTCAAACTGCTAATCTTTTCATTAACAGCTCAATGTTTTAACCACTGTGTCACCAGAGCTCCTATGTAAGGATACCCTTAGTAATTGTCCTAACACTTCTCTTTATTACTCACCTTCATACTGCAAGTCAGCCTTTATCAAAGGAACTGCAAGCAGAACAAGTTTATCAAAGATTCCTCCTCATACCTGCCCAGCTATCATACTTATGTTTTGATCTCTAAGAGGAATGAGTCATTATTTAGGGAATACTACTGGGCCAAAATGAATATAAAGACATTATAATATTCAATCATACATAATTCATAGTTATTTAAAATGGGAATCCAGGAAAGCTGAAGCATGCTCTCTATCCGTCACCCTACAAATACCAAAGTTAGTTTGGGTATACCATTAGGGTAAAAAGGCTCTATCTAGAAAGTATGTTAAACATTCTTCCCATTCAGGGTACTACAAATAGCCTTGTATGTCTCAGCTTTTTGGAATCACTGGTCAATTAAATAGGAAAGAAAATCAGAGATTAAATAGAGAAGTAATCTACCTGTGCCCTCGAATGTCAGATTGATCACACACTCCTCCAAGTGCAATCCTATGGAACTCTCGACCTAGGGTCTTAGCCACTGATCTTCCCACGCTTGTTTTACCAACTCCAGGAGGCCCCACAAAGCAAAGAATTGGGCCTTTCAGGTTGTTTTTCAGCTGTCTGACAGCCAAATATTCCAGCACTCTTTTCTTCAACTTTTCCATGGCATAATGGTCGTTATCCAGAAGAATCCGGGCTGCCCGAATATCCAGACGATCTGTCAAATAATCCAACAGATATAATCTGAGCACATGGAATTTTAAAATAAAGAACTCCTTTCAAGCTTTGTAAGAGTCAAGATATTTTTTTAGAAAAAAGATGTGACAACAGCAATGAACAATCTGAAAAGGAAATCAAGATAACAATTCATTTACATACAACAGCATCTAAAAGAATAAAATACCTAGGAATACATTTAACCAGAAAGGTCAAAGATTTGTATGTTGACAACTATGAAGAATGCTGAAATAATTTAGAGACCTAAATTAAATAAATGGAAAGACATTCCACGTTCACGGACTAGAAGACCTAATATTGCTAACATAGCAATACTATCCAAAGTGATCTACAGATTCAACACAATCATTATCAAAATTCCAACAGTCTTTTTTACAGAAAAGGAAACACCAATCCTCAAATTTATAACGAATTTCAAAGGGTCCTGAACAGCCAAAACCATCTTGAAAAAGAAGAATAAAGTAAAAACACTCATATATTCTGATTTCAAACTATACTATGCATAGCTATAGTAATCCAATCAGTATGGTACTGGTATAATGACAGACATACAGAGCAATAAAATAAAACTGAACATACCTTAATAAACCCATATATCTATGGTCAATTGAGTTTCAATAAAAGGGCCACGTTCCAATGGAGAAAGAATAGTCTCTTCAATAAATGGTGCTGTGACAAACGAATGTCCACACGCAAAAGAATGAAAGTGGATCCATACCTCACACCATATATGAAAACTAACTCAAAATAGATCAATGGCCTAAATATAAGAACTATAAGCATAAAAGCACAAAAAGAATATAATTTCAGACCCACTAGGATGGCTGTTGGGAGCTCTGGTAGCGTAGTGCCTAAGGCATTTGACTGCTAACCAGAAGCCTGGTGGTTCAAATCCACCAGCCACTCCTTGGAAGGAAGGCTGAGCAATCTACTTCTGTAGTGATACTGCCTCGGAAAACCAAGGAGGGGTTGCTATGAGTCGGATCCAACTCGATGGCAGTGAGTGAGATTTTTTTTTTTTGAGAAGATGGCTGTTATCAGAAAAACAGAAAACAAGAGTTGGCAAAGATGTGGACAAACTGGAACCTTCATCCATTGTTGGTGGAAAGTAAAATGGTGCAGCCACGGTGGAAAAGAGTTTGGTGGTTCCTTAACAAGTTAAATGTAGAATTAATGCATGGCACAGTAATTCCATGTTATGACACAATAATTCTACTTCAAGGTATTTAACTAAAATACTAGAAAGCAGGACTCAAACATATGTGCACTAATATCCACTGTACCATTATTTACAATAGTCAGAAGATAGAAAAATCCAACTGTCCATCAACAGATGAACAGACAAACAAAATGTGGTACAGACATACACTGGAATATCAGTCAGTCATAATGAGAAAGGAAGTTCCGATACATGCTACAGTTTTATAAACCTTGAAAACTTGATGTTGAGTGAAATAAGTAATACACAAAAGACAAATGCTGTATGATCCCACTTATTTCATAATATGTAGAATAGGTAAACGCACAGAGACAAAGTTTATTAGTGGTCACCAGACGGGGTGGTGGTGGTGGTGGGGGTGGTGGTGGTGGCAGTACAGAGCTATTGTTTAAGGGGTACTGACTTTCTGTTGGGGTAACAGAAGACATTTGGAAATGGACAGTGGTGATGGCTGCAAAACACAGTAAATGTAATTAATGTCACTGAATTGTATGCTTAAAAATGATGCAAACGGCAAATGTTTTGTTATATATATTTTACCACAATAAAAAATAGCCTTGAGAACAGAAAAATATTACTAGAGAATGCCAAAATTTTAAAATAAATTTATAAGTTTTGGTGTTACTAAGTTATCCAGCTGCTCCTCACACTGCGCACTGGCCCTACTGTCAAAGAGAAAGTAACAGGGTTTGAAAATTGCCACTGGTCCATCAATGGCACAAACGAATACTAAGCACACAGACACCAACACAGAAGTTTGCCAGATGAAACAGAAGGAGAGCAGTTAAACATGTTTAAAGTTTAAATGTACTTTCTCACCCTGGTAATAGGACCACTCTGCCTAAAGGACAGACACTGGAGGGTTATGAATTAGTAGAACAATCTCCAAACTAAACATACTTCCCAAGAGCCGAGCTGAATCCAGACACACCTCTGAACTCAAATTGAGCTCAGGTGGTTAATTCAATAGGAATATGTGCTCCACTGCCTTCACCTCACAATGGAATGTTCAGAAAAATATGAATAAGAATTAAACTAAGAAATTCAACTTTAGTTCATTTTTGAAGTTTACAGCACCAGTATTTTGGTCAAAAACACTTTTAAAACTATTATTCTGTCGTGGAACATAAACATGAAATAAAAACTAATTTGTTCTGTAAACCTTCGCACAAATCACAATAAAAAGTTATTTTTTTAAAAATCTGAAGGACGAACAAGAAAGAAAATTTACCAGTATAGTTCCAGCAGCTTTATTGGTAATAACCAAAAAGTGGGAACAACCAAACATCCATCGACAGATGGGTCGATGGGTAAACAAATTGTGAAATATTCATACAATAGCGTAATACTCCAGCATTACAAAGGAACATGTTACTGATACACACAGCAACATGGATGAACTCAAAATAACCATACTGAGTGAAAGAAACCAGGAGAAAAAAGAGTACATTCTAAGTGATTATTAAAGTTTTAGAAAATATGAACTAATCTATAGTGCTTGGCATGTGAAAGACCAAGGAGGAATTTAGGAAAGGAGCGCTTACAAAGGAGCACAAGGAAACTTGGTGATGGATTGCACTGCCACTGACTCCAACTCACAGGGACCTGACAGGACAGAGTAGAACTGCCCCATAGGGTTTCAAAGACTAAAATCTTCATGGAAGCAGACTGCTTCATCTTTCTCCAGTACAGAAGCTGGTGGATTTGAACTGCCAACCTTCTGGTTAGCACCTTTTGGCTATATTATCTTAATTATAATGGTATTATAAATGTATATGTATATCAAAGCTCATCAAAACGTACATTTTACATAATCTGCAGTTTGTGTTGTTGTTGTTATGTGCCATCGAGTCGGACCCGACTCACAGCGACCCCTCCTTGGGTTTCCAAGGCAGTATCACTACGGAAGTAGATTGCCCCATCTTCCTTCCGAGGAGTGGCTGGTGGTTTGAACCGCCAGCCTTCTGGTTAGCAGTCAAGTGCCTTAGGCACTATGCTACCAGAGCTCCCATCTCCATTTTATTACATACCAATTAGACTGCAATAAAGCTGGAAAATAAGAAAAATTACCAATAGTGCTCCTAAGAAGTTCCTTCTACAGTTCACCAGGGTAACCTGACATAATCTAAAGAAAATCTACAGATGCTCAGAATTTAAGAAAAAACAAAACGTGAATTATCCTCTTAACTTTACACACATTCAAAAAGACAAAGCAAAAATCTAGGGAATGAATGCAAATTTACAAAGTATTCATGAAGGAAACTAGCACAACTCAAGAATGTACCCGGTTCCCAAAGCTAGAAGAGAATTCATGGGATGAAATCTAAAGGTTGCATTTAAAAAAAAAAAGATGATTAAGTCAATTTCATCTTATCATCCAGACATATGCATCAATAAACGTTCAATGATCTCATCCCTGAAACTCATCAGCAATGGGTTTGCTTTCAACCTTAACTCTACTCAGTATAGTTAATTCTGCATAAATATACTTCATTCTGGGCCCTGTGTGAGTTGAAAAAAACAAAATTCTCAACACCAGAAAGAATAGTTCTCCTTAGGTTAACAGGCAAGCATTCTCTTATATTATAAATGCCATGTCCTGGAACCCAGTATGTGTCATACCTTACATGGGGGGAGATGCCCTACTTCGTCCAAAATCAAGCAAAAGGCATCTTCTTGCTGCACTTTCTTTTCTTATTTGATCCCAAGACTTACATGATACAAGATCAGTCTAATTAATTTACTACATCAAGGACTAATGTAACAGTAAGATAATCAATGGAGAGAGTCTGAAGCAAGTATCCATGTGAGTTTTCTGAGTGTCAATTAGATTACAAAAAGGTGTTATTTTGTTGGCTTACCAGTTGTACTTTTGTTCCAAGGAAGTTCCACCATAAGTTCCAAATAATTTCTAGTCAAAGCATATTCTGGCATTGATTGAGGCATTTTTTTGAGTCTGTGGGAGAAAAATCACAGCAAACATTTGAAGAACATAGAATTCTATAATAATAGAAAAATCAAGCATGTCTCCCTTCCTTGGCCAGATATATCATGTATGTTTGACTAAGTAAATTTGAAAAAGTTTTTTTTTTTAAACTGGATAATAAAAAGTTTATTTTATAATACATTTATTTAACAAAATAAAACAGATACTTGCAAAGTGGGGAGAAAAACACCACAGTTCATTCTACCTTTGAAACGTGGGTCTTGATACTATTCAGCCTTTTGAGATCACAGGGAGTCTCAAGTCACATGTATCCACTATTTACTTTATACAACAAGATGTTAAGTACCTATCTCTGCACAACACAACAATCAAATATGTACTTTGTGAATCACAGATGAGGTCAACTCATAAAAGTAAGCTGATAGCAGATATTTAATTAAAAAAATACACCGTCTATAACATAGTCTTAACCAAGTACTCTGCACATAACAGATGTTCCGCATTTATTAAGAGTCAAAGGAAAATTCCCTCAAAGTACATTTACTAATCTTCTTCACTGTGTATCTCATAAAATCAAATCTTTTTGTTATTAAGCATTAAATTTGTTCATTATAATTCACTGATAAAAGAAAACGCAACACAGTTATAAAGTTACAAATACTGTAAGGGGAAAAATGGTTTTCTACTCAACCCTGAGACTATCCAGAAAATGCAATCCCCATATATTCAATATTCTGTCATCAAGGTTTCCCTTGATTTTATTTTGTACAAAGAGAAATGGACAGTCCCTGCCCTCCAGAGTTTATAATCTAGAGGAAGAAAAGGGACATGTGAAGAACACAGTGATAACTGAACAAACATCATGCCTAAACAAAGAAGTACAGTTCGTTCTTTAAGATAATGAAAAGGCAGTTGGAAGAGTTATAATGTAGAACACCTACCCCAGGGAGATGTACCTCTTAGAGCAATCAACCACGAGACATGAGAGGGGCAGCATTCCCACAGAGTGAAAGCTGGACAGAGGGGAATGAACAGGTAAGAAGGGCACAGGGAGGAGGCAGTTACAGGGAGGAGGCAGTTACAGGGAGGAGGCAGTTACAGGGAGGAGAGTTTTTTATGGTTGGGGGTTGTAATTGGGACCATGAAATCAAACGTGCATGAACTATTCAATGGAAAACAAATCTGCTTTGTAAATTTGCACCCAAAGCACACACAAAAAAAATCATATACATACATATATCCATATATATAAGAGTTAAATGTAGGTGGACTGAGTTAAATGTAGGTGGACTGGTAAAAGTGGTGTTAATTTAGGACTATTAAGAATGTTTTAAGAATTAGATCTTGGTTGAGGAATGAAGAGAGTATTTCACAGATCAAAGCTGTATCCTGAGAATTAGGAAAGCCATGAAAAAAAAAAGCTGGCAATGAAAAGAATGGTCTGTAAATAAATATATTAAGCATATGGAAAAGTAAAAGATCAGGGAATACAAAACAAATGACTCAGCTTTTGGTATGTGATTCAAAGTAGCAGAACTGCTTCCACAAGCAATAATTTTGAACATTAGTAAACAACATGAAAAGACCCATGAATGTAATTTACCTTTTTATCTCTTTGACACAGACTTTAAGAGCCTGCTCTGGCATATTAGATGTTCGGATTTTTTTCTCCAGCATGACAATGTCATCATTATCTTCATCCTCAGCCTCATCTTCCAAAGCACCTGGGATGTGTGTGATCCTCCTAAGAGGGCGTATTGCTATCACCTAAGGTAGAAAATAGAAGAGTAAAACTCTGTGTGAAAACAAATGGGAAATGAAATGCCCAACTACCCTTAAGGTTATGTCCGGCAATGAATCAACAGTTTTATGGCCACAGTTGAAATTATTAGTCCATGATGATAACTAAGAGGCAGATGCACATATGGAGACAGAATTTAAAAAGCAGACCAACACAAGGTGAGTATGATTCTTTGATATATGCTTACGATAATAATAGTGTGAGAAAACAGGTCGTATTAGGATGTTTTCAAGGAACTGGCTACTAGAAAGAATTAAACCATCTGAGAATTGCCTTTTTCTCAACTACTTTTGCAGCCACTATTTTCTTGATATGCATCACTACTTACCATTTGGTGCCTAAACATTTCCATTTTCCTGCTTACATTACCACATTTCTCTCTAGCATCTTCAACCTTTCCACTGGTTCTATTCTGCCTTCAACATATAGAAAAGTCCTCCTCCTTGCATGGTATTTTATCTCACCTCTGGTTCCTCCCTACTCACTACCACACCATTTACTTCCCTTCTGGCAATGCTCTGCTTCTGCAACAAGTGCCTGCAGACACCGCTTCCCCTTCCTCCCACTGACTTCAGTAAACCTTTGGTTTCTGTTCCCATTGTACTGAAATAGTGCCTTCAGATCCCACACCAACTTCTGGGCCAAATCACATGGCCTTTATTTGTATTTATTCTCCAGGATCTCTCTACCATATTTCACAACTATCATCTGTACTCTTAGAAATTCTCAACCCATTAATATCTCAAGTAACTCCTACCATTACCAGAACAGAACAATAGGCTGGCATTTAATTTAAATGACTCTAGAGCTCTGGTAGCATAGTGGCTAAAGCACTTGACTGCTAACCAGAAGGCTGGCGGTTCAAACCCACCAGCCACTCCTCGGAAGGAAGGTTGGGCAATCTACTTCCGTAGTGATACTGCCTCGGAAACCCAAGGAGGGGTCGCTATGAGTCGGGTCCGACTCAACGGCACATAACAACAACAACAACAGAGTTTCTTTTTTCAATCCGTACAATTGCCTATTTAATATATTCAAACACAAAAAGCTCGAAACATACTATGAAACAGCAAATAGAAATATTAAATATATACTTTCATTCTTACAAAATCATAAGCAGATAAAATATTTTAAAGTGTACAAAACTGGAAATGAAATATTTTGTTGTCTTTTTTAAAAGAGGCCTATCAATGAGTTCACTGTTGAGACAAAGGCCCTTGTCAATGCAATTGTCCTCCTGGCAGGCAAAAGAGCACATTTCAATACTTAGACAGGGGAGTGGCAAGGAGATAGTTTAAGCTAACCCCAAATATCAACCTCTAATTTCTAAACTTTCAAATAACAGTCTCTTGTTTAATAGCATTCTGGAGCACTTCTGAATAATTTTATATGTACGTGACGGAGATCGTTACTTTCGGGAACCCACGGTTTTCTGTCACTTGCAGCGCAGAGTGCACTTTAGTTTATCTGTCTGCACAAAATGAAGAACTGAGTCACTGGTTTAATCTCAAGCCAGAAATCACTCAAATTTCTGGAGCTTGTTCTAAACAGCTTGGTATCCAGGACTATTAACCACCAGCATGGCGATCACTGCCTCCTCTCTCGTTCATCGCCTCCTCAGGCTACTGTACTGTTCCTTTTCCAGTCCCTCCAGAAGAAATCCTTCTTTCGGCTCTTCTTTCTCTATACTGTACTCCTTTTGATGAAGGAACGCTTCTCTGCTGACGACCATCAGATCTCTAAAATCATTCCAAATATCTTTTACGTAAGCCAGGGCTTAGGATCTCCAGTGTCCTTCAGAGAACTGTCATTTTCATGTCTTGTGCACTTCAAGTATATTTTCCTTACCTTTTCTCTCCCCTACCATAAAAACAGTAAATTCAGCAGCTCAAGGTAGACTTCAAACAGACCCTATCATATCATGAATGTAATGTGTAATAAAGAAGGTATCATAAATCAACAGAGAAGGAAAGGATCATGTTACTAAATGGTGTTAAAATGAACCAAAAGCTGTTTGGGAGGGTGGGGGCTGGTGGCTCAGTGGCAGAAACCTCTCTTTTGATGCAGGAGACCTGAGTTTGATTCCCGGCCGATGCCCCTCGTGCACAACCACCAGCTCTGAGTCAGTGAAGGCATGCATGTAGCTGTGGTGCTAACCAGGCTTGAGCAGCGCTTCCAGATTAAGATGGACCAGGAGGAAAAACCTGGTGCTCTCCTTCTGAGTACCAGCCAATGAAAACTCTACAGATCACAGTGGTCTCATCTGCCACCAATCACCGAACGGTGAAAGAGCAGGCAACGTGCTGTTCTGCTGTGCGTGGGGCTGACTTGACGGCAGCTAACAACAAGAAGAAACTTTCAGGAACAAATACAACTGCTGTTTTCACCTCATTTAACAAGACAAAAACAGTACCATATGCTATAAAGAGCTAAATACTTTTTAAAAAAAAATCAAAGAAAACCCAAAGGTGGATACTGTATTCTGCTCGTCTTGATTTTTAACCCAAATCACTGGAGGATAGAGGACTCAAAGCATAGAAGATAAGAAGGGACTAACCGTCTGACTGAAAAATAAAAACTTTTGTTAAAAACAAAAAGGTAGCCAAGTGACGACAAAATATAGCGACACAGTCCTTTTCAGGGAACAATTCCATAGCATGTTCTTCACACTATGTGCAGTAAAAAATGTTGTACTCAAAGAAGTCCATCAGAGTTATTTTTTAATATTTAAAACATAAAAAACACTGGGAACAACACACAATGTTCAACAAAAAGGGAAATGCCTAGGTAAATTAAGCTTTGGATGATTGTAAAAACAAAACAAAAAACGAGAAAATGCTCCTGTTTGGGGGGGGATGACCCAGGCACAGAAAAGGACCCAAGGGAAATACACCAAAACTTTCAGAGTAACTTCAGTAGTAACAATGAGTCTCTCTCTTCTTGGTTTTCTCTATTATCAATCAGAATCAGCTTGAAGGCTGTGGTGTTCTGGGTTTGGTGTTCTCTATTCTCTAAATGTTTATAAAAAACAAAACAAAAAGCCTCTATTTCACACCACATAAATATAACTGGGAATCTGAAGGAATGGATTAAAAGAAATATTTACCCGCTTATCATCATCTTGCTTGGGTTTTCTAGTTTTCTGAAGCAATTTCAGGCCTTCGATTTGTCTGACAAGTAGTGGTATAGTCATCTTGAATCGCTCCTCTAAACTCACAGCATCTAAAATCTAAGGAATCGTGAGTCAATTAATACAGCCTCTCTCAGAAACGCATGCTCCAAAAGCCAAAAGCCATGACTTAAACCTATTATGTAAAAAAGATACCAAACCAAACCAAACCCATTGCCGTTGAGTCAATTTTAACTCATAGTGACTCCTCCCTGGGTTTCTGAAGTAGGATCACTATGGAAGTAGACTGCCCAACCTTCCTTCCAAGTGGCTGGTGGGTTTGAACCACCAGCCTTGTGGTTAGTAGTCAAATGCCTTAGGCACTACATCACCAGGTAACTCCTACCAATACAGACTGTTACGTAGGGATAACACAACCAAGTATGTTAAATCTGCAAGGTTGTTTGAGATGAATACTGAAATCCTAAAAAAGACAAAAAAAAAAGTATCTGGATTTTGCATTTAAAAATGAATCTGTACGTATCGTTCCAAGATCAAGAAGAACAGAACACACATTTGATGTCAACTCTTTCTGAGAATTATTCTTTTAAGGGCCAAGGACACCTTATACATTACATCTAAGCAAATTACCTGATGATTTGCTCATGCAACTGAAATAAAATACACCTAGTGAGACCCCACAGTCAGGTTACTCTCTAGGACTCCTGTACTCATCTGTTCCCAACAGTGGAAATGAACTCTTAAATGTTTGTGCCCAGCCTGTATGTATTAGGTATACCTGCCATTAGAACTGTTTGCTTTGAATATTAAATAAACTGATAGAATCAGAAAGACTGTTTCAATGCAAACTAACTTAGTTTAGGACAATGCAGTAAAGCAGAGTGCTTAAAAAAATACTACAAAAATAAGTGCCTAAGAAAATTTCCATACTCTTATGGTTTAGAGGAAAGTCCTGCACTTGCATCATTTAAGTGTCTTTAAAATGCATTTCACTTTTAAAGAAATGGAAAATAAAAATCATAGGTAACACAGCATAGGTATAGTTTACAGACGAAACACCGTGAAGAATTCTAATGAAGCAGGCCTACATACAAGGGAAGGACCTCTGGTAAAAAGAGCTTCTCTTTGTTGCTTCTGCTAACCAGAAGGCTGGTGGTTCAAACCCACCAGCCACTCCTCAGAAGGAAGATTAGGCAATCTACTTCCATAATGCTAACACCTCGGAAACCCAAGGAGGGTGTTCTGGTTACCTAGTACTGCTCTGACGAGAAATATACCACAAATGGGATAGCCTTAACAAACAGGAGTTTATTCTTACAATTTGGAGGCTTTAAGTCCAAGTTCAAAGTGCCAGGCTCTAGGGGCT